ATATATTTTTACAAAAGACTCTGTACTTTTTGCTATCTAGCTGCTATTAGAGAAGCCCTATCATATCAGACCTAAAGTGAAATACTTGCAAAATACTCTGATTTGTGGACAACAGCAGACACAAAGGTTCCAATATAAAAGCTAAGCATGGAGTATTCCCCTAGTAGACCTTCTTAGCTTCCAGTCTGCAATACTTCAGTATGTGTCAAGCCTCTATGTGCAGTAGTGCAGTACAGGTGACAGGACATGTGTCATATATGCGTAAGTATCTTAGTGTTCTTTCTCAAGTTGCATTGTAGTACACCAGAAATTAATAATTACCCTAAGTACTTGTTATTCTGTACTATTCCCTTGGATAGGAGAAATATATATAAAAATAATATGAAATAAAACTCTGAATTGTATGTGAAGTGTGAGCTTACAACCGAATATGTAAACTGTTCAAATTAGAAATATGGACTGACCTTTGAACTAAAAAATTTATGATTATTGTTTCATTGTTAAACGACAACATATTTTCACCATCCAATAAACTGTCTACCAAGCTGTTGAACAGCCTGTTTTTCTTTCTGTTTACAATAAAGTATAATGTAGGCAGGCTTGTTTATCTATTTGCCTATTGAAACCAGTTTTTGTTCCAACAAAGGGTTTGCAAAATTGAGGTGCTAAAAGAAAAACTAACGTTACAGAATCACAGAATCATAGAATCATTAAGGTTGGAAAAGTCTTTTAAGATCATCAAGTCCAACCATCAACCCAACACCACCATGCCCACTAAACCACATCCCAAAGGGCTACATCTACATGTTTTTTGAATACTTCCAGTGATGGTGACTCCACCACTTCCCTGGACAGACAGTTCCAACACTTGACCACTCTCAGTGAAGAAATTTTTCCTGATGTCTAAACCTCCCCTGGTTGACCTTGAGGCCATTTCCTCTCGTTCTATCACTACTGAATTGGGAGAAGAGACCAACACCCACCTCACCACAATCTGCTTTCAGGTAGTTGTAGAGAGTGATAAGGTCTCCCTCAGCCTCTTCTCTGGGCTAAACAACCCCAGTTCCCTCAGCCACTCCTCATAAGATTTGTACTCTAGACACTTCACCAACCCTTTGTTGCTTTTCTTTGGATGTGCTCCAGCACCTCAATGTCTGTCTTGTAGCGAGGGGCCCAAAACCAAACACAGTACTCAGGGTGCGGCTTCAGCAGTGCAGAGTACAGGGGCATGATCACTTCCCTACTCC